CTGGTGCAGAATGGTAATTATGGTGATAAAGAAATCGCTAGTAGCTCCGACCACCAGAAAGAGTCGTCCGGTGAAGACTCCGCTACACTGTGTATTTTAATACATTGCAGCCCGCGTGCATCGCCGGGTATGCACGTCGAAACTCCCACATCTGACATTTGTGCATCGCCGGGTATGCACATCTGTATTTTGCTCCCCAATGAACCTTTTTCAGTACTTCTTTTACTATTTGACTTCTGCTAGTCTCATGAATCCGTAAAATGTGGCATGTCGACAACTTCAATTTCAACAAATTTTGATGCTCCGAAAGAGCAAATGCAGTGCCTAGAACTTCAAAAGTAAAAACAATCAGAAATACGCCCACCTCATGGACGAGTTATCACCAATTGCAGAAATTGCAAGCAAACTTCGATTCAAGCTTGAGCTTTGAGCTCACCCCTCTTTCCCTGTAATATCCAAAATGGCGTTAGTGTATTGACGGCATTCGAAAAGGGTCGCAAAATACGTAGGAAACAAAGCTAAACATTATCGCACTTATAAATACGAAATAATAAGCATAATGAAAAAAGACTCATCACTCGTATAGGAAAATGAAGCCCTCCCTATGGATCGACTATATGGGTCCCGCAACGAAAACCCACAAAATGTCCCACATATGAGATTTGTGCATCGCCGAGTATGCACGCACGCGACGAATGACACATGTGTGAGATGCGCCGAAATCGGCGCGGGCGTCAATGTATTAATACCTCAAGAAGCATAGCTCAATGACAGCTTTATAGCAACAGGGAGACGCAAAAATTTCGAAAAAGTGCGAACGTGACGGTTGACCCCGGTTCCATAACGAGATAGACCACATCATCTCCAATCGGAGGTCTTGCCTGACCGACGCCGCTGTTGTTCCAAAAAAATCCTGAGAATTCTAGCTAGAATACACCCCCACAAAAGAATTCAAAGAGTGTCAGTCACCAAATAAAGGACATGCGTCCAGCAGATGATCGATTTCTGGATTTGCTTTCGCGGTAGAGAGCTCCATGTTTCTTCAGCCGTCGCGATCTGAACAGCTACTACGGGGGCGTATTTCACAAAAAGAGGAGGATAGATCTCGGGATCCCTCGACACAATTATTTTTAATCAAAACGGTTGAAGAAACTTAAAGTCATCTAAACATCGAACAGCAAAACCTAGAGATCGGATCTACTGCTGGATGGGATGTATGTCCTTCTTTTGGTGGCGGCAATCTTTTGAAGACTTGTTGTGGGAGTGTGTTCTAGCTAGAATTTTCAAAACTTCTTGAATCTTCTCATGGCTCAACCAAAAAGGAGGAGAAAACAGATGAAATAGGTTCTTGAGGAATTTCGACCGCAAAAGTTACCTTTCAGCCGTAATCATACTCTTTGATTGCCGAGTGCGAAATTCACAAAAATACACATAATCTACCGCTAAAATAGTTAAAGGTCTGCTATAAGGTGTGAATGGTGAACATGTCAACCACTGTTTCAACGCTGCTGGAAGTGTAGCCAGGCTGGTGTCAGAGTCCACGACCCGTCGCGCGAGTCGCAAAAACCGCAGGTGCCCCATTTGAACGTTTGAAACACTGGATATGAAACAAGTATTATAGAATCATGAACAGTCTGTCAGTCAGCCATCACCGTCAAGCAGAAATGGCGGCGGGGTTAGGAGCACCTCGCGATATTTATCGGGACTGGCCTGTAATCCGTCGCGCGATTCGCGCGCATCGCGTGACGGATCGCAGACTCTGACACTCGCCTTAGATCTAATTGAAGAAATAGCGTACAACGATGATGCAGCACTGCGATGCACGAGTCGTGACAATATTATCAAGGAATGAGAGGTTCTACGATGTGTGGAATACATAGAGTCGTTATCTTAGTTGTGATATGATTACCAGCAATCTGTTCTTGCAGCTGATAAGATAGACAGATCATCAAGTATAGCAGGTTTCTTGTGTCACCGCACTGAGAATATTTTATTAATATTAGGTTGGAAAGAAAGTCCTGCAACACTTTTTCAAATTTTTGATTTTAATTTTATCTTTTTTGGTTACAACTCCTGACCGGTCTTATATCTACCATGAGTGTCCACCACTTGTCTTCCAACGCTCAGAAAATTTCTTGATGCTCCTTTGCCAAAACCCAGCGGAGTGCGGGTCGAGAAAGGAGGCGACCTCACTTTCGAGTTGGAGTTGATCGTCTAATTATTTCGTCATCAAGATGATGATTTAAGGTCCAGGATAGGTGGCAGTCATTTATAGCTCGACCAGGGCACGCGCTAAGAGAGGCGGAGAATCCGTGCGCAAGAGCTGCTTACGGCCATGCGGACATAGGTGATTCGCAATAACATGAAATAAATATTGTCGCGGTACGAAGGCTCTTGACGAGCTGCCTATGTTCTGAAATTTCGCAGCGTAGACCTCTACCTACACAATGGTGCCCATAACGAAGATTGTAGTGGAGCTTCCGTAAGAGCCCTCCTGTAATGGAGTGTGTAGGACGCTGCTGGCTCCTTATAAAAATATCAAAAGATCGAAGCGCTGGTAAAGGTGAAACACGCTGTAGCGGTGAACGGCATGCCTATTGAAGCTGCTTGCAAGATAGTGACGGTCGTTGACACAAATCCATAGTTTTGGAGACACTTGCACTAGAGAGTGATTCGGGATTTACCAGTGGTCGGGGTTTTTTTTTGAATTTTTTCGGATAACTACTGATTGCAGCACGTAAATCTCCCTCATGGATCAAAGCCCCGGGAATGCTCTACCATTTATGAGTCATAAATGTTACCAATGAATTTTTCAGAAAGAAAAAAAAATTTCAGAAAGAGTGTTGCAGAACTTTCTTTCCAACCTAATAGAAGTAGAATACTTACGTGGAAAGAAATTTTCTGATCTATTATACCAACTATACTGCTTTATTCTGTGGTGGGGTGTTTATTTATTTATTTATTTTAATATGCACTCGAGGCGCACCATCGGCAACAACCAGAAAAACAAACCGAACCGTGTCAGGATAATTAGAACAACAACAAAACAAACAGTACACCCTAAACATAAGCACTCGTGGGGTGACCAGTAAATAATATTGAGCAGGGCAAAAAAAGAATTAGCTGAACAAAGTAGGAACAGCCGTATCCGTTTCTTTCACTCGTTTGCATTCTTCCTTTTTAGCTGAGCCATGAGAAGACTCAGGAAATTTTGAAAATTCCAGCTAGAACACACTCCCCCAACAAGTATTCAAAGAGTGTTGCTTACCAAAAGAAGGTACACTTCTATCCAGCAGTTGATCGACTTCTCGGTTTGCCTTCGCCGTGGAAGACACCATGTTTCTTCACCCTTTCCAAATGATTATGTGGGGATGGATAGACTCGGTCCTCCCTCTTTTTGTAAATAACGCCCCCGTAATAGCTGTTCAGACAGTGACGGCTGAAGAAACATGGAGTCCTCTAACGCGAAAGCAAATCCAAAAATCGATCATCAGCTGAGTAGGACGCATGTCCTTCTTTTGGTGGGCGACACTACTTGAAAACTTTGGGATTATGTGTTCTAGCTAGAATTTTCAGTTGTTTCGGACTCTCCTCAAGGCTCAGCTGAAAGCGAGGAGTGTAAATGAGTGGCAGAAACGGATATACGACAAAGAAAAAGCAGATAGCTGATTTTTTCGTGATCTATTTACTAGTACTGCTCGAGGCCCCTTCTCCCAGTGAAGCTTCTACGGAGTGGGAGTGGCGGTGGAGTGCATGAATAGATACTTGCCGTGGGTGATAATATAAAAGGATAAAGGATAAAGCATTTGCCGTTGATCAATCCCTTTTTGGGATGCGGCACGCATTCTACTTCCATTTGTACATTCGTAGTGGCGTTTGAATGCGATGTGGCCTATACAATGACTTGCGGGGGCCAGCCGATGTACAAGTCAGTGTTTTTATCCTCCCAGACAAGTCTGGTACCAATTAACCGACCCCGGAGGGATGGAAGGCTTGGTTGGCCCGGGCGACACGACCCAGATTCCCCCCGGACCGCTCGCGTCGTAAAGCGTGCCAGTTGCAATTACACCACTTCCATGTAGCAACTAAAACAACGATTCTATGTATTCCATTAGACGTCGTAGAACCCATTCCTTGATAATATTGTTACAACTCGTGCATACGCAGAGGTGCATCATCATTGCACGCTATTTCTTCAAATGGATCTAAGGCTTTACTACCAGGAGCGTTGAAGCATTGGGTTGACATGTTCACCATTCACACGATAGCAGGCAGACCTTCAACTATTTTAGCAGTGGGTATGTGTATTTTTTGTGAATTTTGCACTCTTCAATCACAGAGTATGATTACGGCTACAAAGGTAACTTTTGCGGTCGGAATTCCTCAAGTACCTATTTTATCTGTTTTCTCCTCCTTTCTAGCCGAGCCTTGAAAATGCTCAGAAAATTCTGAAAATTCTAGCTAGAGCGCACGGCAGCCCACGGCAAGTATTCAAAGAGTGTTGCCCACTAAAAGAAGAACGTTACGTTTCATGCCGCAGATAATCGATTTCTGGATTTGCTTCTACGTCAGGGGCACCATGTTTCTTCAGCCGTCGGATCTGAACGGTAGCTACGCGGAGATGGGTATAAAAAGGAGGAGGACCGAGTCTATCCACCTTCTCACAATGATTAATTTTCGAATTCTACGTCCTGTTTCTAAAGCAGGTTTCCTCGGACATTGACTACCAAATTAGGTGTTATTGAGAATTCGTCGTCACTTCGAAGGCGTTAAGGGCCAAACGAAGAGTCACCTCTCTTACCACTACTCATATCTTCTGAAGATCTACTATAATGATATAAATTGTAATCAGGAGTGGGCGTTGAAATGATTTTGGACCAAAGACTTCACATCATGAAAATTTCGAATGGTGCACACCTGATCGTAGCGCTCTGAATATTGTAGCATCTCATTATTGCTTCAGACATCAGGGAACAGAATAATATTTTCCTTATTTCAGAATGAGGCTGATATTGCTCACGTTACTCTTGGTTGTTGCCACTAATGGGGGCATAATTGACAAACTGAAAGGATTGTTCACTGGAGAAGGCGGCTTTGGACAAAAAGTGAAGAATGCAACTGCTGTTAGCTTCAAAAAGGTGCCTCTTTATCTATTTGACCCTAAATCATGTTCTATTCCAAAATTGCATTACAACGTTTTTGTAAATTTAGAATTTCGAGCCATGGCGGCAACAAATTCTAATAACATATTTGCAGCTCTTCGAAAACACGGCACTCTTCAGAATCAATGATAAGATCAGGAGCATGAAGGAAAAAGTGTTGAAGACCTTGGAACTATCACCAGCAATGATGAAGTCACTGCAAGAGAGGCTAAAGGTTACTCTGATTGCTCACTTATGTACTCCCAAAAATTTAGAAGAACATTAGTTAAACGCCTCATCATGCCCAAATCAATGACGTGAAATTTTTGTGCAGATTTCCGTCATACAGATGAACAAGGAGAACACAGATCAATAGTCTAATTTTGCAGAAATGGCGACCTTTAAAGAACGATAAAGTACACGAGATGGGAGACACTATTACAGAGGTCAATAAAAATAGTCAGGTCGACCAATACCTCTACCAAGGCGACATGCTTTTAACAGAGTACGTTTAAAGAAGCTATTGTGAGAATAAGCTCTGAACTAGCACTGTTGTAAGGGAGCAAGCCGATGAGATCGTTGAGGACATAGAAGATCAGGTCGCCGGTGGAAACCGTACAAAACGTCAAGCATTCAAGGATCATAAATATCCCAAAACGTTGTGGTCGCAAGGAGTCAACTACTACTTCCATGATATGGCCAGTATGCATGTTACTACTATTTATCAAGCAGGTTAGAACAGAACAAAAACTGTGTGAGCATTGCAGGTAAGCAGATGAAAAGCGTATTCGTAAAAGGAGCGAAATGGTGGGAAAAGGACACGTGTATCAATTTCACGGAGAACCGTTCTGGTAGGAGATAATTCTAATTCAATGTCCGCATTACGTTCATAATTGCGTTACACTCCGCTTGCCCTCTCATCTGCTTCGAAAGAAATAACTGATTCAAAAAATTTTGTAAGAATTTGGGGACGTGGAAATGGACATATCGTGGTGTAATTAAGCAAACGGAAGAGCAAGTTGAAGAACGCAATACCTGTATTTCACAAATGTCATTTCTGTCTTCAGAATAATATCTGAAAGTTTTCTGTTCTAGCCGAAGACCGAATTATGGTATTCCCACAGAAAGGATGTTGGTCAAATATAGGAAAAATCGGTGGCGAACAAAAGATTTCGTTGGGAGGAGGTTGTCATTCGGTATCCATTGCTGCGCATGAGATCGGTCACGCAATTGGATTCTTCCATACTATGTCCCGTCACGATCGCGATGAATTCATCACCGTAAACATGCACAATGTTGATGTACGTACCTGATTTCAGTTCATGTAGTGCTGATTTGAGAAATAGCATTAAGCGCTTTCTCCCTTCAGCATTTGTGCGTTCAAGCTGCAGTTGAACGCATAGATGCTGAGCCGCTTTTTTCTATCTGCAGCGCGTCATATTATACCACCTACCAGACTGCAATATTAAGAAACCACGCGAAACAGTGACAAAGGAAATAATGATAACGATTTCAGGTGCACTGGCTGAGTCAATTTAATAAAGAAACAACGAAGAGAAATGACAATTATGGCATGACGTACGACTACGGTAGCATTATGCATTACGGCGGAACCAGGTATGTTCACAAGAAGGATGAAAGAAAAAACCATGCTTTAGCTCATAGATATGATGTTTGAGTCATTAATAATACCGTGAATGTTTTCGTGTACAGTAGATATCTTGAAGTCTGACTAGACGTGTCCATAGATCTGACGTAGCGGCTGCCGTACTTGGTAGAAGTCGTGTGGATAAGCTGTTTCTAACATACTCAGCTGGTCATACGCGAAGCATGCTGGAAGCAGCTTATCCGTGCAAATTCTACCCAGTGCGGCGGCTGCTACGTCAAGTCCATGGACCCGCCTAACAGACTTGAAGATATGGACTGTAAGTGTGGGTATCAATATACACAACACCAGATGATAACGTAACATAGCTATTCATTGAATAATTTAGTGCATCGTACAATAATAAGCCAACAATGGTGCCGTTTGATGTGGACTATCAGCAAACCCTTGGCTCTCCATTCATTTCTTTCATTGAACTTTCCATGATTAATGAACACTACAAATGCAAAGGTTTGGCATACAATTTTTGCAACATCGCAAAGGCGTCCGTCAATCGTATCTTTTCGACAACTGTTAATCTTCTTTCCTTACTTACATTATTCAGAGAACTGCAATCCAGCTAAGTCGGCTAAATGCGAAATGGGCGGATTCCCTCATCCCCGAGACTGCAGCAAATGTATCTGTCCTGGTGGATACGCCGGAGCTCGATGCACCGAAAGAGTGAGCAAACACTTGAATATAAATGATACAAAATGAAGCAAAGAAGCCTTTCCAGCCATCAGGGTGTGGCAGTGCAATTCAAGCTTCGTCCGATTGGAAGACCTTACAAGATACCCTTGGCAAGGATGATGATGAAGAACGAGAGGACTTCGAGACATGTAATTACTGGATTGAAGTATGTTTCACACTTTTACAAAATACTTGTGGCTCTCTCTGAATTGAATACCAAGTTCGAATGTGTTAAAAATGCTCAAATGTGTGTTTTTTGAATGCTGTGATCGTTGTTGTCTTGCAAGAGCAGGACTTATTGCATGTCTCATTGTGATAATGGTATACATGATTTTATAGTCTCCTGCCGGAACTGAAATCGAAGTGAGGTTATTGGATTTCACGAGGGGTCTTTCTGTCGATGGATGCAAATTTGCCGGTGTAGAGATCAAGACCAATAAGGATCAAACACTCACTGGCTACAGGTAAATTTGTTTTACTACGCAGGCGAAGCATATTTCGTGTTAGCGGAGGCGAGCGCAACACTGCCTACAACAAGCCTCGCTGATTTATGTTATAGACGCAATCAATGCTCATGAATTGAAGAGAATTTAACCAATCTCTAAGGGTTCTCTAGAAAGAAGAGTATTCTTAAGGTTCTGCACAGCTGGCGCAGCTGGATAACACTTCGTTCTTACACGAATCGCGTCCCAATAATGACGTACAACAGATTTGGTCAATCGACGACTGTTCTCGAATACCGACACGGTATCCGCTTCAACTCTTTCTACTCCGAACCACTGATTTTGACTAGATGAAAACATTTAGTTCCGGCGAGTGCGCCAAGAACGCCCTCACCTCCATCTGCTACAACTCGTGCTTCTACTACTACTACTACTACTACGAAGAAACCCAGCTCTACCGCTGCGTTCAAATGCGAGGACAACCACACGTAGGATATTTGTCGTCTACTGTGTTTCCAACTTTGATTTATATGAAAGCTTCTTCCAGCTGTCCCTCACTTGTAGCGAGCGGTTTCTGCAAAGGACCACTCTCAGAGGCTACCAAGAAGAAAGTGTGTCCAAAGTCGTGTGGACTCTGTTGATACAACACTTTCTCTGTAATAAAATCTGAACAATTCTTTTGCTTCAACACCTTTGTCTAGCAACTTACAAATCTGCCACTCGGTTCATTCGTAGCCCAAACGTACTTGAGGTCGCAAAAATTGCATCTCGCCTCAAAAGTTCCCTCAACATTTACAACTGTTTTACGAAGGCTATGAAAGATGCACTATCCAAGCCAAGCACACTGGGCTCCAGCTCACTTTCGCCCTAAATCGTTCACTTTGCTCCTGGTAATCATAGTGAGCCCCTATACCACATCCGTATCGATCGTCCTTGTATCTAGCTTGATGAGTGTTGTATTTAAAAGTGGTGGACAGGAGCTTTCGAGGCACTCTGGGTCATATTGAGATGTAACACCATAGAACAGATTGGAGGTGCAAACGAATGCTTATTACGTGAAGAATGTTTGGCGATTTCAAATTCATCCCTATTCGCTTAGATATTTTCTGGAATGAACATAGATCTAACTGAACAAAGCAACTACAATTCATCGGCTCCGATCTATTGACGCGCTGCGTCACAGTCCGATAAGTATTCCCATTCCCTTTTGATTTCTTTTGACAACCTGTTCTGATAAACACACACTAGGCTTCACCGAATGCTTTATAGATTCACAAGCTTTGCTCTGCCCGCTATAGCGCATCACACGGTGGGCCTTAGCAAAGCTGGAGGACCTGTAGAACGTTTTCTGATTACTTCACAAAGCAGCCAACTGAGGAATATGTTATTCGAATCACCTGGGTTCCGCAAGCTCTTCAGTTTCATTGGAGTCTATCATGGATACGCGGGATAGTATACGAAGCTGAGCTGATATAGTTATCATAACTCTGTGAACACCCAGCATTGTTCATTGAATTCTGATAATTGAGTGGTGAATAGGTTCATTTGTTAACCGCAATATGAAGACCAAACATGCTCACTTCTTATAATTGATTATCTAACGCTTATTCATTCACATTGTTAGAAAATCCTAAGGTTTAGCGGTTCAATGAGTTCTGATCCTTATGGTATTATAACACCAGTTTGGCTGCGCACGAATTCGCGTGCATCACACGGGACGCAGTGGTGTAAAACAGGGCCATCCATAATTTTGTAACGCTTCCTTGCAGGTTTCGCCTACCTCGCTGCGCGCTTCACCCACCACTAGCACATGACCTTCCTTCCGCTATCAGAACCTTCGACTTCTCTCCCGGTCTCCAGATCATCTTTGAACCGAGTTATAATACTTCGTGGATGACTCCGCCCATTCCGATGTACGCCTGACCCACCTATAGCTGTTGACCTCCCTTCCGCTGTCAGTCTTTATTCACTTTTCCTCGGTTTCCGGGAATTTCGGAACCGAATTATAAGTTTGGCGCAAACTCCGCCACACCGGTACTCGCCTCTTTTCAGTCTTCAAAGCTCCCTGGAACCGAATTATGAAGTTTTGTGGCAAACTCCGCCCACTGTGTGCACGCTCCGCCTGCCAGTGACGATCAAAGTCATTTCCTCTGCAGACCTCTACATCTTTTTATCCCTGTCTCCAGGACTACTTGGTACCGAATTATGAAGGTTTGTGGCAAACTCCTCCCACTCGTGTGCGTGCTCCGCCTACCAATGGAGGGTACTCTCATTCTCTTTGCAGACCTCTATCTACTATTTTCCCGATCTCCAAGGTTTCTTGAAGCCAAGCTATAACTTTGGTAGCAAACTCCGCCCACTTCTGTGCACACCACGCTGGAAATACCTTAGATATTGCTTCCCTTTACCAATTTTATTTCAGCTCTGCAATTTTTCATTAAGCACCGCTTTTTTTTAGAAAACGCCCTGCCCACAGAAGGTGGGTCTCTCCAGTTCGATATGGCTTACCGATGCACACTTATATCCACTTTGTTCCCCAGTCTCGATGCTATTTTGTGACTGAATTGAAATCATGGTCCTCAATTCCGCCCATCGATGTACGCAACGCCCACTGTGGGGGAGGCTCCACCTAGCTGATATATGTTTTGTACTACTTGAGATATGGTACACGCATTCCACTTGACCCCGTTTCTCCTGGTGAATCTCCAGAAAGTAGGGATTTTCGTAAAACACACACACTCGTGACACACGGGTGGCAGCTCTTGGAACGTGGCTGGATACGGCAAGTCAATTGAGGGGTTAATGTAACCTTTGTGCCTCGCCTCCCCCCTCCCCCCTTCAGAACTGCTTGTGCTTAACATTGACGCCCGCACTGATTTTAGCTTATGTCACACATGGGACAGCTGCATTACCTGCGTGCATACCCGGCGATGCACAAATCTCACATTCGGGACATTTTGTGGAATTTCTCTACAGGACCCATATATCTCGCTACAAGACCCATGTATTTCGCCACAGGACCCACACAATCTCAACTGCAACCTCATAGGCTGGCAACGTATTGCTTTTGTCCTTCCTTTAGTCTACTTTTCTCAATTTTTTTTCTTTCGCTTCGCACTATTTTTTGCTCGGCTTCTGGAGTTTGTAGGAGCTCACCTTTCACGTAGCCCTTTTCCCTTTTCATTCCACATCATTTGCGGCCACACTTGAAGCTCACGGAACAAACTCGCCCTTTATCCAATTTTTTCCTAAGTTGGTCAGTTGTTAAGGCTCTTTCGTTTTTCATTGTATTGTAATTGTCTCATCTAGATCGATTGTTGATGTAAAATTAGCATGTTTGTATTTGTAGACCTGAGGAAGGGCTTAAGGTCCGAAACGTCTTCCCGTAAAGCTTTTTGAAGAGTTTCATTTGAAT